TCTCTGCGTGATAATCTAAAACATAACATATCATTTGTATTATAAGCGCTAAAGCAATTGGAAGCTATTTCTACGCAGCCATTAACAACGTGCCTCCTTTATCAATAATCGTGTTATTTAGCGGGTTTGAGTATTAATTTTCAAATGGTAAATCTATAATCTTTCTAATGATTAAGATAATGGATCACTTGTTTCTTTGTTATTTGGGATTTCTATTGTATCTACCTCTACCTACGTAATATGTAAATTTATCTTAATCCAGTAATAAACCTGGTGTAAATTTATGGCTTTACGGTTGGTAATACCAAAGCAAGCACTTAAAAGCAAACAAGTGATTTTTCAGTTTCATAAATAACCTTGGGATATTCCCTGCGCGTAACTTTGGCCTTCATAGACGGTTGGTTCGATACACGGGCACTGACTTGGTATACACTTGTATACAGCAGATATCCTTTCCAAGGGCACTCCCTGCGGGCGGTTTATTGGTAGTACATACACCTACCGAACATAATTTTAACGTGCAACTTGAATGTTGCTATCCCAACAACTCTTACTTTATGGTAGTAATTACTGGCTCTGCCTACAAATAGCCAATATCCAATCTAAAGCCAGTTTGTTTACCTTTAGTTCGTGCTGCACCACCGCTTGCGGTTACTAAGATGTGTATAAAGTGAAAATAATTTTATTACTATAAATATTTACTTTTATAGTGCTCTTTGAGTTTGAGTGTGTTCGTGATTATTTAGTTAGTTATTTCGTTTATTGGCTGACATCCGGGTCCGCGTCACTATGACATTTTCCGGACTATATCGCGTTACGCTGCGTGCTAACGGTTGTTACTTACTTTTTAATGGCAATACCACACACTTGGTAATGAGGTGTTAAATTATAAAACAGTGAAAGTATAGGTTTAATTACGATCATTACTTTTTAAATATCTGTTGCCACAACAGCCCTATTAGAAAAACTTGTAAGAATTTCAGGTAGCGTTACCAGAGCAATGAAAATCTGCATAAGTGGGTTTCTTCTATATTTATGTTCTGTTAATATAATTTGCGAAGAGAGATTTCAAGCTGGTTTATAACTAAAGAGCTAGTCATGATGACAGTTGGTACACAAAACCCATAATGTTGCAACGGAGTCTACGTAATAACTTAACACTCATTAAATTGTGGAAGATATAAAACAGTTGTAACCTTTCAAATGATGTTTAAGAAATCGAAATGATTTATTGGCTTAAATACTTGTAGAGCAGAATGTTTTCATAGTATGATTAATTGTTTACAAACGCAGGAAGCCCAATACTCACAACTTTACAGCTGTGCTACGTATAGTCACGGAGGTGGTCGAGGGTAACGTGTGAAGACAATACAGGATTGCGTAACCAATATGATGAATTCTATTATCACTCTATTGGCTTAAAGTAATGCTTTCTTTTCGTCATATTGCGTAGATATGCAACTGTTTCCTCTTGATATATCATCATATTGAAATCTTTCGCAGATAATCTTTTGCGCATAGATAGGACTCAGTAGATATACTTGTGTTTAATTTAAGACGTTTGTGAAAGTGTACATGGCTTTCAATAGGGTTAGTGTCAGATTTTCGATCAAACATGTAATGGAGGCTTATACGTACTCATATTTTACGGTTTGACATTAACTAATTTCCGACAAATAATTAGTTCAAGATAAGGAATAAGATAAAGATAATACAATTATAATATCAGCTCTTGTCATTGTGATACCTATCTAAGTAATAAATAATTTACTTAGTTTTAATAAACGTAGGTATAATGCATAAACTCACTCCTATCTATAGATTGCTAAGATAAATTGACAATGATACTGCGCAGATAGTATCGTCAATTGGGATTGTCTTTGTATTTCCATTGTTCTTAGTCTTCTTTTCATTTAAAGTATTTTTTTAAATTTCGTGGGCACCTATCTGATAAAAAACGTGCAGTCGAAACGATAACTGTTATCTATAAGTGGCTAACGTTCTTTATTATTGCTACATAGTTTCCTTCCACAATTTCGACAGAAACTGAATTCAAACTAATTGCAATTGCGTAAATGGATTATATTTTGTTTGTTAAATTCATTGGCATTAAAACGTACATACCCGTTTTTGTGGATGTTGTGATGTGTTTGATTTATATCACCTTCATTATTTTGTTATTTTTCATTAACACACTCTCTATAAGACTCTAAACCACTTCAACTATATCTGTAAATATGTCTATCTCTCCAGATTGAAATTAAGAATTAAACGTATCTGCCAGTACCTATTTATACAAAGATGATAATACATTATTATAAATTTATCTAATAATTTATATTTTATATCTAAAAACACCAGGAAGAAAAGAAATAAAAAGTTATGACAACTCTTTGTTACCGTAAATATAATAAAACTGCGCATCGTTTGAACACAGATTATTAATGCAATGTTTAATACTTATTGTGATTGAATTCAAGTTCTTATCGATTTTATACACATTTGTTTTACTATAAATATAATATCTTGTGTAAATTAAATACCTATAACGATGTGCGGTGCAGCTCTATCGGATTATAAACTCGATAAAATATTAAACAGTGTTTTAACTAATCATGTGACACCGATTTAATAAAGGTGTATTAAAAGAGATAATAGGCAGGTTAGCAATCAATTGTACTGATTGTCGTTTGAATTATTTCTTATTATTGGATTTTATTATATTTGATTGTGTCCGCGAATGTCAGAAACATTATTTGAACATATTTCTTGATTGTATCATGTACATTTGTTTATTTATTAATACCTGTGTAATAAACTCAAGCCAGCAAGAATGAGTAAATCACTTCCTGACCGCTATTTTGTTTTGAAAACATTTTATTATGACTAACTCTAATGATTTACTGTATTGTTTTGTTGATGGATGAGTGTTACGTATAGATGGATCTACTTACATGGATTCATACGTCAATCGTCAACTTGTGTTGTACTACTATTTGGAGCAGATGTTCTTCATCGTTTTTTATGAGTCAGTGTATAATCGGCATTGATGTAGTCTGGAAATGTTCTCTTCACTAGGCTAATAGTTTATGTATTTATATTACACATGATTATATAACAATCTTTGAGAAAATTCTTCATTCAATAATTGTTCATGTTGCGTATTTTATAACATAATAACTACGTAAATTCTATTGTTATCATCGTCACGGTCGCAATATGAACTTTGTCCTTTAGAATTTTAATTTAGTTTTTCTACATACACAGAGAGGCAGCTACGCCATAATTGGAAACGGTTTCCATGCTTCATGCGTGAAATCTGTTCTTAAAACTGTTCTTTCGGGTACATATTAATAAGGTACTACCTACCTATAAAGCCGTATTTTCTATTAAGCTACTTGAGAGAAAACCAACTCCGTCCGTTGAATATATCCAGGTCTTTGGAATACAAACAAACGCCCAATAAACTGTAGTGTTCTATTTTAGTCCGAATCGTTATGGAGAATGAATGTGTTTGTTGTAGCACTAATGTATTTAATATACTGCTAGTGAAATAAAGCGTGACTTTCAGAATAACCTGAATTGAATTAAAAACCTTATGGAATAATAAAGCAGGCAAGTGTATGAACTCATAAAGATAACTATACAGTTTCCGTTTGTCTAAAGTGCCTGAAATGAGGCCGTGGCGTGAGATAACGAGCAGGAACGAGAGTTGAAACGTTAAAAAGTGGAGCTGGGAGCACGCTCCCGCAGAAAAATCATCATGTAGTGCTCTGTTATTTCCCCGGGAAGGAAGTGACGCCTCCGCACTCGGGGCTCTTATTAACCTGAGTTCGCGGGATTCAGGGGATCGCAATCAAGCCTCAGACGGATTTGCGACGTAAACCAGGTCACAAACAATAGTGACTTACTTCTGCTTTCTGTCAGCAATTCTTTTTGTCATACTAGTGAAAAGGTTACTAGAGTAGCGAAATGGGGGAAAACTAGCCAGATCAATTCCCCCCACCCTATTGGAGGACTTTATTAAAAGAAAATTTATTATTGAGAAAGTTAAGAAGCTGGGAATTTATAATTTGGAAAGTGTCACTAAAATATTTGTAAATTTCAAACATCTCAATTTCACGAAAAACCTATTAACAAAATCACTATCACTGGTGTCCATATTTCAGTGTAATAATTACAGAAGTTGCACAAACGCGTACACCAAAACCCGGAACAAGTACCTGTACATCGCGTCGTACAATAATGTTTCTTCCGCGCTGGAATCGACCCGCGGCATGTAATCAGCTCAATTGTCGTAGCCAATTGGTCGACTACTGCGTCAACGTCAAAAGTCTATACATCATTCATAGATGCCATCTCGTAATGTAGGCAGTGTTTACCAATCGCAATCTTTAACGCTGTTGTAAGTGCGGTCAGTTTCTCTATTAGAAATAAAGAATATTATGCCATGCATAAATTAACAGAATGTTGATCTTTGAACTCATTAATTACATAGACACTCAAGCATACAAAGCTAGCACATCCATGTAATACCTAGGCTTAAGCAATTTAACATTTAAATCTGGGTGACGCTAACAGTTTTTATCAAATTGCGCTTATGGTTACATTCCTGTATTAGTATGCTCAACGTGTATAACTTGAATATGATGATATCATATTGGTACCTAGTGATTCATGAGATTTTTATAGTGTATACTTAAGAATGTTTTAGTTTGTTGGGTAATTAACTCGCACTACAACATGCATAGTAGAAATAAAAACTAATCTGATATTTTATAATTTATTGACTAAAAGGTATTCACGATTCAATTGAGACATATTTTTCAAATAACACGAAGGAGGTGGGTATCTATGCGTGATTCATGAGTTATTTGCGCTACCAGTTTTTATTTTGTACTATTATTATTAAGTTAGCGTGGTCGGCTTACTGGTTATGAACACATGGTGGATAGGACCGTTGATGATAGTAGTGTAACTAGTCTGTTGTTTGTTTGCAGTGTTATCTGCGAGCGCATTGAGCGCGGGCGGCGGCGTGGGTGCGGTCCCCACGCTGGTGTCACAGTCTGGTCTTGGTGTGGAGGTGGACATGGTGCAGGAAGGCGGCGGTGCGGCAGGCGATGGCCTCATCGCGCCGCGCCGCGTGCCCAATCCTTGTTTGGAGAGCCCACAGCGTATGGACTTACACAGGGAGCTGCTCTTTAATCAGAGGATGTAAGTGATAATACTATCGATAACGCCCCTATTATTTATAAATATATATACATACCACAATTATAATAGAAAGCGTGAATGACTTAAATAGAACTCTACATTAAATTACTTCTCTAAATTTTCTGATATAAAATAGCTACTACAATTCACAATAAACTAAAGGCACTGTTTCATGTTATCTTTTACACTGCGTAGACACTACATACATTAATTAATTGTTATCAAAACTTTGTAACTATAGGTTATTAGATATTCCTAATCAGTTAAAAACTCGGTTGAGGAAGGATATGATAATCCATATGTCCTAATTTAATTTATTTTGAAAATCTGAAGTATATTTTAATAGTACTTACCAAACTCATTTCATGCTACATCGTGAATCTACCGATGCATAATCGGCCTGACCTCTGCATTTACGCATTTCTTTATGGATCTACAATTCATCCACGCCGGACCAATCACCGATACGTAGGCCTATTTGTTATATTCGTTTATTTTCGTAAACGCCTAATGACTTCTCGAAAATGTTTACATCGGAACTGACTCAGATGTCTTTGGAAATTCGAAGATCATTGACACGCGAGTCATCGTCAATTTATATTATAAAATCAACCCAGATTTATTTTTAAAGGTGTGGCTAAGTTTGGCCCAGTTTTCAGAAGTCCAGTGCACTCTATCAAGCCTCTTTTATCTAGCCTTTGTCCGTTTTTATAATGGAGTACGCTCTCAAAACCACTTTGTGGGGAGGACAAGAGACTTGACTTGAAAGCCTTTTACTGCCCGTGGCAAATGTCAGCTAAAACTACCATTTTCTTTCCTACTTATTGTCTTAAAATATAAAATTCAGGATTTCTTCAGAAAAACCGCTTAGTCTTTAAAATTTAATCATAAACTCTTGTTACTTATCTGTTAACTAAAAGTTATCTTGCTATTATATTGACCATAGAAAGCATGTTAATTCGTAAAATAACATTGGAAAAGGCGCGGCGATTATGGCTCTATGATAAGCTATCTTGAATAGAAAAGACATTCCATTAGGTACAGGTGTGATAATAGAATGAATAAATGGTATGTCATTCTTCATTTTTAATGATATCAGAATACAAGGCACAAATGCTTAACTTCAATCATAATAAGACGGGTGATGTGCGAGTTGGAGCGAGTTTAGTTTTTGCTAAGTCTAAGTTTGGTACGTCTTCAGCGCACAGGTGCACCGCATCCTGTCCCGAGTGTTATGCACCCGCTATAATTATTGAACATCTGTTGCCCGAACCGCGCCGATCGCATTGTGCGCGCTCCTACCATCTTTGTGAAATCAACAAATGTTGAAAGCATTATATTGAAAACAGAATAGCATCACAGTCGTCGAGACCTGTTGATTCAGTCCATTTCCCCGGCAATGTGATTGTCGGAGCAGACTCGTCCTGTTATTTCCGTGCACGGCTGCCAATGCCGCTTGACGGAAGGAAGCAATTCCCAGTGTACTAACGGGAATTCTATGCCTTTATAACTATGAACATAATAATAGGTATATACGACGTTGACAAATTAAAAAAAATAGCGTAAAATCTAGAACGTAAAAATTAAATTGTGATTGGCGATTGCAATCAAATGTAATTTGTTTCGCATAAGTAATGCCAATTCGTGTGTATTAAGAAATTCTTTAACGATATCGTTTCAAAAATGCAGTAAACATGACTTTAGCCAATTGATATAAATCTTAATTAAATTGTATTTTTGATAGCCAGACTCTTTTATCTATGTAAGTATAATTGTTAAGAGGGGAAATACACATAGATTAAATGAAAAAAAAAATGTTTATGAACTAAGTAGATTTATAATTTTATGCTTCGAATTGTGAAGATAGAACTTTTCGTGATATTAGTTTCCTTGGGAGAGACGAGAGTGCAATAGTGAAAGAGGATGGCAATATCCTGACGAGCGACGGCAGTAATTAGTTGGGATTAAATCACGCTGACTATCTCCTGGCGTAAACTCGGCAATTTAGTGTAAATCTCTCGGATCGTTAGTAAATTAATTGTAAATATGCTCCAAATAACTCTACGATTACAGACGTGTTTCTGTTTACATTTTGCGCATACTCTTAACTAATGTATGTTGAAATTTATTTCGAAACGTTATCTACATTATCGTTGATAGAATACTACGATAGCCTATGTAAAAAAGTTTTTAGTATATTAAAATCATAACTTCGGTTGAGATTGTGGAATGTACCTACTGTTGATTAAGAGTAAACAGAAATATTACACCCGTTGTGTTTCGACACAGCTATGTGTAGTAAAACAAACAAGACATTGCAGTAACTTGTGACGTCATACGTACAAAATAGTCCACACATGCAGGTATTGTGCGTGGGAATGCCGCTAGGGAACTGTCTCCATATGAACAGAAGCAATTCAGAAATTTTTTACTCTATCCATTATTTTACTTGATTGCAACGGAATTTTAGAATTTCTGTTGTAATTAATTGCATTCAAGGATATTTCGACACCGTTTCTCTGCAATAAAATTGCATTAATTTACAACATTTATGTATAGGATTATAAATTACGATATTTCATTCTTGTAAGTAGCGCGTATTTCAGAAATCAAACATCTATCGTAGCAGAGTTTCAGACGTAATCCACCTACGCATTTTTCGTGATTATGAGGAAAACAATGTTAATTAAACGTTATCGTATTTCAGCATAAATTAGATATTATTACAAACATTGTTTTGTACATATAATAGAGATATGAGATAATCCTAACTATTGAAAAAATCCAGTTGTTATCAAGAAGCCTACGTAATATGTGCGTATCATCAATGATTTTCGGTCGCTGAATACATAACCATATATGGTAATGAATTGTGCTACGATTTTGTCATCCGCGATAAGATTAAGCTGATATCTTATACGTTACACTATCTTATCGTGTAACATTACGTTACGTCTGATTCTTGGTAGGTAGGCAACGGCTATCATTCCTGAGCCAGTATCTAGAAAAATTATTCACTTAACAGTACCATTATGTAATGTTTTTTCTTTTACTTTTCAGAGGTAAAAATGTCCTCAACCAAAAAAGTGAGCTAGAAAAGGCTCTGTCGAAACACAAAGAGAAGCAAATAATGAACCAAGTAAAGGAACACAGGGAGACACCAGGTAAATGTTATAACACAAAAGCAATAAGTTTTATTATGTCCAACGGTACATGTTTCGTCGAGTAAAGAAATTCGATACATCATGCCCCTTCTTAAAAAACCCAGTACAGTGACCTTCGTAAATAAAGCGATGGTTTGCGATGAGGTTGCTTATGTTATCATAATAATCAGTCATTGAATAATGATTCCGATACTAGAAATATTGATTAATTGACAAGTACTGAAAATCCATATTATTTAATAGAGATAATTTCTGAACTAGTCACGCAACTATGGTATGTAGTTAGTTAGTTATTAGCCTAGTTAATAACAATGGTTCACAGCTACTGGACCTTTGTCGCCTTTGTGATAACCATGCTTATCAGCCACATCCTGCCAATGTTTGCTAAAATAACCAATAGGTAATATGCATTAACTACGACAAAAATGCGCATAACTTACCGCAAAAAAATTAACATACAAGGAGGCTACATTTTTAAGTTTGTATTATAATATAATACACACATCGGTGTCAGTCGGTCAGGACACAAAGGCGTAGTTTTACTATTACATCACAGCTTTATCACGTATTTGATATAACATTAGGTAACTGAATCATTAAACTGATCGGCGAACACGTACCGCATCCGGCGGCGGCGGTGCCGTATGGCTTACGTTACGTGTCTTGGTCATTTTAATCAAATCTTACTACCTGTCTTTAAGATTAATGGCCAGAATATACCACCGATCATGTGGTAAGAACAAAAAAGCAAGATAGGATTTGAAACCGGGTTCACTTTTACTCTCAAAATATTCGTTGAAGATTAAACCGGAATTCCTCAAAACTCGTATGGCGTTTGGTGTTTTTTGCTCGCATATTTGGACGCGGGCTCTTTATCCGGTGCAGTTCAATATGAGCCGCAGGTGCACTCAGCGGCCGTTCACCCCGAAGGCCAATAATTGTGGACACATTCCTTGTAAACATTCAATGCAATGCAATGCATACTACATGGCATGTTATGCTCATAATGCAGGTTTCGTGTGTGGTACCTGTGCGAAAATTTCCTCTAATTTGTTTGCGGATGTCGATGACCAAGGTTGGATGAAAGTGAAACTGCATCTGACTATTTCCCGTTTGTCCGATTGGTTAAGCACTGGAAGACATTACTGTGATAGATAAAGCTTGTAGTCGCTAGTTTTGCGGTTTCCTTATAGCGTCATTAAGTGTTTATTTAATTAAATGTGTCATTAAACGATTTACTTATGTATAATAAACTCGGAAACTGCTATAGCGTTTGCGAAATAGCGCAATAGCCGCAGAGTACTGTTAGCAAACTCGATTAGTCTTTGTTCACAGTCTCACATTTGATTCAATAATCCAGTTACAGTAACATTTTATTTCTCTTTTGCATTTTAATGCGTTTGGTAATAATTTCAAATGCATGAAATTGGTTTTTTGAGATAGCCTTTCTGATTGCTATGCACCTAATGTTACATTATTATCGTATCTATTTACATAGGTAGTTTCATATTAATTATTTTTAAAGATTATATCAGTACTCTTTTTGAATGATTTTCAACAATTTGTTTGCTCAATTTAAAGTTCGAGTTTACTCCAAAAAATTTGTATCCTAGTTAATTAACACGAATATAACTATAATTCTATTTTTAACCAAATGCGTGTAGGAAATATTTGTACTATGCGTCTAATTTTCCTGTTAATAGTAGCTAGTGCTAGCTGTTGATAGCCTTTATTTATCCTTGTAGAAACTACTAGAAACGAACTGTCCACCTTCACTTGCGCCTTGCACAATATATCTAAACACTGACACATTACCTAATCGAGGTATACTTCAGTGTCCTTAATGTCCTTTTATGCTAACAATATGTTTAGAATGAAGCGATTAGATAAAAAAGTTGAGGCTATTGGTTATTTTTAAAATATCCATAATAGCTAGGTTACTGTCGATTTAAATATAATACTCTTTTTGATATCATTATTTCTCAAAGTTCTTCTGATTTTGAAAATCTTTCGAAATTCGCATTTAGAACGAAACGTATATTAGTTTATAATGAAGTCTAGTCTACGATTCTATCTATGAAATTATAAACTAATGTAAACAATTCTTCTATTTCTAATTAGACTTTTATTCACGTTACAGAGCTTGAGCGTGCGATAGCAGAGCGAGCTCGCCGGTTGGAACAGGCAGAACAAAGTACGGAAGAACCAGAGACTGGTGCCAACCCTACACTGCAGCAGATACGAGCCCGTCTTCGGCATGCAGCGCCCTCTGCGCCAGCGGCCTCTGCCCACTGAACTAACCCAGCCTTACATACATCTAAATAGGAATAGGATTGCCAAAAAGCCACGCGATGAGCAAACTTTACCCTTCCCAACCTTTCTGTCTTTACACAAGTCTTATAATGTATCGAGCTTAGATGCTCTAGAGAAAAGAATAAAAACTCACACTAAAGCCTTACTTTAAACATAATTTGTGAGTCGCGGAGAACCTAACGGGTAACCGGTAACCGGCTCGACGTGCAGGAGAAGGAACGGGGTGGTTTTTAGTCAGTAAGAGTCTGACACTCCCTCCCGCCTCACCCAGGCGGGGGCAGTCATTCGATGATTTTCACCCTTAAAAAAAAAAAAAAAAGATGCTCTCGTCAGAGGTAAAGACAAAAATGTTGGACTAATATTCCTCGAAAAGACTCGTAGTAGTGTCTACTAAACTCAAGGTATGCTAACTTGGTAGTTTACTCAAATTCTAGGACCAGAAATACTCCAATCGAATTCAATTATGTACAACCGAATTTGCGTAAGCGGCCAAGGTAATGCGTAACAACTTGCATCTTACGATTCATAAAGTTAGTACGGCCTCCTTCGAGGACAGTCCTATTGTTCTTTGGATCGCATAGTAGTCCCCGTAGTACTTCAGCTGCCAACTTCATTATGAATATTTAAGTCTTACTCGCTCCTTCACAAATCACAAACCATGTAGTTGTAGTGATGGGACATTAACAACCCGACCTATAAGATCGGGGGATTTTGTACCACTCATATTTGATCCAAGCCCTGTAGAATATAGCTAAATAGATGTTCTACTATCATCGTTAATACTAGTGGATAGTGGCCCTAATATATCTATTGGCTAAAATATTTATTCCACTATAATCAATTGTTACAAAATTTCACTTGTCTCGATATTAGATTCAGAAAAAGATATTTTAAAACATGATGTCAGTAGCTCGCACACCAATGTTATCTGTGATTAGCGCCATCTTTGTGTAGTAGTAGGTAACTCTTACTAACTGTATCACTAACTCAGGGTGTTGGTGGACGTAGAGGAACTCGACTGGGGTCCAAGTGGACTGTATTCAGGGGTCAAGGAGATTTCAAGGGTTATTGTAAAAAGATGGGATTGAAGATATGGAAGTGCACTGTAATTATAAGCATTGAGCGAGTGTTGCTGATGGTGTGAGTGATACGCTTTGATTGCCAAAGCTTGTTTGATTATAATCGGTTACTTTATTGAATAAGACGAACAGCTATGCTTTAATCTTTTTTTCAATGAAAAAGGTCACTTAAAGTGTCACAATATTTAAAACGGTAGCGATTTATTTGTTATTATTTAGTAGTTTATATAACGGGTGTGGAGACTTCTAACAGCTCGATAATTGATTCTGTAATATTATAATTGATTATGTTTATTTATGCATGCAAATATTTAATTTCAGTAAGTAATACGTAATATCGAACAACTATATGACTGAGGATTCGACTGCGTGTGTTGTAATAATAATGATAAGAGGTAATGTCGACTTCAAACAAGAGAATACAAATATTTTTCTAAACTTTTTGACGTCACAAATCTTAACAATTCGTAGCGTTCATTCGTAAACATTTACTGTTCTTGTTGTACTCTTTAACTTATCTCTCGCTGTACGTTTTAGTGATAACATAAATGTCAAAATAATAATTGTAATAACTATTTTATGACATTAATTATTATTAGAGAGTAGATAGATGTTTGCAATTTACAGATGTATGGTTTAGAAATATTAAAGTATAAAACATATTTTATTGTCAGAGTAGAATAGAGAGATCCTTAATAGATTTCCAAACATAATATTGAAGTTGAATTATATTAACCTACAATAAAAGCCTAATCAGTAATTGTAATGAATTTAACATATAGCTTTATGGGCACGTAATAATATAAACAAAAATATCTAATTTTCTACAGATCCTTGCACGTTAGGCCTTCCTTGATGACTCCAATTAATAGTTGACCAGTGTATTAGAATTCGAAGTGTTCATAAAAGTGATAGAAAAGTATTTTTATATATTTGTGATGCCTGGAGGTTCACTACAGGTTTTCAAAGTTTAATCGATATTCGTAGTAACCCTGTATGACATATGAAAATATTCACTACACGTATATATTAATCAATAATGATGGGTAACGTTATTACGTTGCTTGCTACTATAGAATTATTTATAATACTTCTCTAATATTGTTTTAGTCGCCACCTGCAGATATATTTATTAACGTCCGAATACTGAAAGGTTACTCAAGTTTAAGTGGTACTTAAATATCGTGGCATCTCTGTCATTTTACAAATAATAATCTAATTTTTACTTTAACGTCCGTCTGGTAGATTCTTTTAAAACATTACACACGTAATTTTTTATTTTCTTACAGAAACGAATACTTTCGACGATATGTTGATTTGAAATGTCGCGTGACGTCACTTCTATGTACATTTTATACGTAGAAATGACCTTTTAGCCCCCACTCCTAAACTTTGATTCGTTATATCTAAGTATCATATAAAAAAGTACGTGTCTAATATTATTTCATTACCTAACTGACGGACTAATTACATTTTTAATTTTCATCATATCTACCTATTTGTAGTGATAGAACTTGCGATTTAAAATTGAGTAGCGTTTCAGTATTCGGGCATAAAGCTTGCTATTTATACTTTTTGATGAATCTCTTACTATTAGCCCCTTATTTACAAATGCCACCAGTACTTTTTCATTTAGCTAATATTATGTAATTGTATTATGTTCTCTAGTGTGCCTAATTATATAACTTGTTATTTACTTTCAGAGTATTAATTATTTATCGTTATTAAGTTAGATTGTAATAGGATGACGATTCTCACAAAGATAACAAAACTACAAAAAAAAAAAAAATGTTCTTCTAGTTAACTATCATTCCACTTGTTATTCTTTCACTTGCTATGATTTCCTTTGTCGAATTGTTTTCATTTTCTGTTAAGATTATTGTTAAGTTATTGTAACTTAGTACAAAATGGCTCCTTCATGATATGAAGGCCTGTTGGCTTCGGAAGCTGCATCGTGGCCATCTTAAGTGCGACATTATTGACGAAAGTAGTGTTAAGTCTCTTTGTATTGATAGTATGACATGGAACCTGTATGGAAATTATTTGCATAGTCAAATAAAAATGTTTTAGAATATTTACTGTTTCTTTTTTGAACCTTTGAACTTGATACTTACATGACGGACAGGAGTGGCTTCTCAAACCAGTCAAGCGAAGCGTAACTACATAGTTTTGTTACAGGTAATAAAAGTAAAAAGAGAAAAATAGACAATTGTCAGAAAAAATCTCCTGTTTTTTGAAGTCGATTAATATATAATTATACTAAAACCTTTTCCTCACTTCATAAAAATCGGTTCAGCCATTCGCTAGATAATCGCGCCAAATATACTTACATATATACATATACATTTACACACAGGTCAAAATGAGAACATCCTTTTTTGAAGTCGATTAAGAATAATTAAAATCCCACACTAAACATTTCCATGTAAAATGTTCGTAAAATGTTCAATAATTATTAGTTAAAAAGTGATTCTAATAGTACATATATATAGCCGTAGCTTGACATAGCGCAAAATTCGTAGCAGCGTACCAGCGTTTTCCCGCTATTACTACTAGTTTATCAAATCAAACGAGTTAAACTATATTTCATATGTGAAAGCTACCTCTCTCATCCAATGAAGAAGGCAACACATGATCACTTGACCATACGGCTAACAGTAACCAGCTATGAATACTAGCCCTAACTACCTTACTACCAGTAGTAACTACTAGCCATAACTATTTTATGGCCGTATTTTAAATCATCAGTTAATCCTTAACTGAAGAATAACTTTTAATATTTGACAATTCTTCCATACTAAGGCCAGGCAAGGGTACTCAGGTCCGATTCCCGGGACGGGCAAAATATAACTGTATTTAAAAAAAAAATCTCAGTAGTAGCACGGAGTCTGGAATTGTTGCCGGTATATGGCAATAGGCTTACCCCCTATAACATGGGACTCAACATAAATAGTGAAAAGTGGGTGTTACATTGTACAGTGGTATAATGTGCACCTCTGCCTACCCCTTCGGGGATAAAAGGCGTGATGTTATGTCTTCCATACTAAAGACTGTCAAATATCAATTTTATTCTACAGTTAAGAATTAACTGATCATTGAAAAATCGGCCCTTAATGTTAAAAATAATATAAAATTAAAATTAACTTCGACCTACGTACTATGCGCTACGGACTACAAGCTACGAACTACACGCTACGAGCTACACATTACGAGCTACGCGCTACAGGTAGCATTTCGCTAAAACTTATGGGTTAAATTCTGGATTTAGGGTTGGACTTTTAAGGTAAAAACTTGGCTCTTACTCTTAATGATATTTAAATTATTTTTGACTGTTTTGGCGACATAAATATTTTTGTGTAATTTTGTATTCAAATTACATATAGTAGTAAATTCTTGTGAGTGAAATCGCAGGAAAAGATAGTATTTAACTTATATTTCCCGATAAGTAGCTAGCGTGCAATATTTTTTAACATTAGTTAATAGTGTTAGCGAACTAAACTTTACATAATTTACGTCATTATGTAGTGATTGGACGTTATAAAGAGGGAATCACATTCACATACAACGCAATTCTTATTACTTTATTTTACTCGTTTTTCTTAGTTGGTTATGATTAAATTGTATAGTTGAATTGTATGTTTTCGTACCTTTTGCAAATAGAATATTAATAGTCCTGGGAAACCAATAAAATCGGCAATAAATATTATTCTATCGTTATCAAAGAAGTTCGCAATAAAACTGTCTAGACATTTATCCAAATATGGCAAACATAATACCTAATATAGTTTGGTAACTGCTACGATAATTCAGTTGAATGGCTACAGATGTTGATGATAGAGAACCATTTTTTTACGAAATATTCATCTTCAGTACCTCACATATGTATTTACCATATACCTAAAATATTAAAGAAGAGCATGTCTAAGTACTTACCTAGTTACGAATATTTTGTGAACGTTTCTAAAACTTGTGTAGAAAATTTTACATTCTGATTTCTACGAACTAATTCCATAGAAATCGAAGGCTTCACTGACGCTTTGAGAATATTAATATTGTAAGATCTCTACTTAATGGGTACTTTATTGTACATTGACATTACCTACACCTGACCCACGACGTACCGTCGATATCGGATAGTTACGTTCAATTAGAAAAATAATATTCATAATCTAGGTATATAGTTAAACACTAATTTTAATGACCTAATATTTCAAAATGACGTATTTACGATTGAGTAAGTATTGTTCTTGTCGAGAGGGTAATATTTTTTCTTAATTGATATTGATTACTGTTTTGCACTTACGTTTATGTGCAAGTAGCTTTAAAAAAAATATGTTACCTTTTATGACGGAAGACGAGTTTTCAAATGACACGAGAAGCCAATTACCTGCGTTGCATTAATATCATCAGCTATTATTGAATGCAGTGACTGTATTATTAACGAATAATTAGTTGGGGAAATTCGTAGAGTTGTTGAAGCGTAAAACGCTTTCGTTTTCTTAGGACACGGGAGACACGTCCAACGGCAGCGGTGCAGCGTGGCGGTGGCGGTCAGCGGCGGAGCACCCCGATGAGTACGCGGCTTCATGATCGTGCCGTAACGTGCCCTCGTTCAGTCGACAATCGAACACCTTTCGTGGCTCACGTTCTCGTACAATGTAAATAGTGCGTAGCACGTTGTTACCTGAAACAGTGATTAATCCAATATGTTTAACAAGAAACTTTACTTTGCGTTATTAACATTGTTAGTTGTTAGTAATGTAGTCTGCGGGAAGAAATCTAGGAGGAACAAACGACCCAAGGATCAAGAGGATTATACTACCATACAGCCTAATGTTGTTGCCTATTCAACTTTTGGAGTTAACGACGTTGTTTCCTACGATGGCTTCGTGCCAACCTCACCGGACTACGCCACCTTCCTGAGCGGGGTAAATCAAGAATCTACAACGAGATTATACGCTCCTGCATTTCCAAGTTCCATGGATACAACTGGATTCGGTGGAAATTATGGCACTCAGGCGTTTGAAGGTCACTCCTTCGGTGTGAACGAGGTCAACATGGGCCAACCTAGTGGTATGTTACAATATTCCTCAAATTCAATGAACTTCTACAACAATCCTAATTTTGGTACGACTGCTGAACAAAACAGCAATAATGATTCTGAGGATACTAGTGGTCGCAATCATAACGCAGAAGAGACAGATTCACCAGTATATGGTACCAAAATAAATTCTCGACAAAGGTACAGAATAAATAACACTGAACCTAGTAGTTATAGTAATGGTTACTCTAACTTATCTGACAACAAATATCTGCATTTTCCCGAACCAGAGCAACCTCACGAAAATAAACCAGCATTTAGTGAATCTAGTGGGAGTTACCAAAATACCAATAGTTTTGTCCATAATTATGAACCGCAAGAAAATGAAGACTCGGTTAAAATGTCGTCCGTGCTAAAATTTCCTAAAGTAGTGGATTTTACAAAACTAAAACCATATTATCCCACTGAATTGGATACTAGTAAGTTTTTCTCAGAGGTTAACCAACCATCGAACGAACAAAATTCTATGAAAAACACTCAAATAGAAAATACGTTTACACATAATTTCAATACTAATACGAATAATAACAATCAGTTCACGGACTCATCACCAAAATTAGTAGACCATTACAATATGAAAAATAACGAAGAACCTAGTGACAAATCCGTAACTAAATCCAATAATTACTTCGAACAAGATTTAACCTACAATCACGTTAATACACGTCACAAAAATAACGCGGCTAGCAACAAACCACTGGAGCCAAAAAAGAAAATCAAGAGTAAGCCATGGTCTTCAGGCAATTACACTAATGACTTTACAAACTGGAAAGACTCTTCTGTTAAGAGCTACGGATATTCCACGAATTTTAGTAATATGAACTTTAAGTATGATGTCAGTGAACCTAAAAAACCTTTTAATCCTGATGAGATAATATCAGCAAGTAGCAATGTTGATTTAACAAATTATCAATACCCAGATTCGGAATATTCAAATTTCAAGAAAATGCCTGAAGTTAATGAAGATGATGATTACAACAGCGTGTCATTTAAAGACAAATCTAAATCAAACGATTATTTGAATCGATTCAAGAACTCCATTAGTACTATTCCAACAACTACTTCTTATTGGGGTAATGTTTATCCATCATTCAAAGATTATGCCAAGAAACCTCATTACAGTGAAATAGGAACCGATGTTGTTAACATTCCTAAAAGACCACATAAATTAAACTACCCAAAACAATTAGACAGCAAACTACCCGATTGGCCGTATACTCACATCAACAGACCTCATAAATCAAATAAACCTACAAATGATTGGACCAAAGATTTATTCGACACTAGATTCAAATCTGAGGAAGATTTACTTGGTCTGAGAACACACGATACATCACACCCTACGTATTTACCGACATTCAAGCCAAGCAATAACGTTTATGATAATGACAATGAATTCAAAAACCTCGTCGAGAAATGGAGACTCTCATATTTGAAGACTAAATTTAAAGATACACCTGTACGAGATTACGAAAGTTATGGGTCTGAAACAAAAGCTACGCATGTGCCGATTCCGAAGCCGTACCCGGTAAGTGATTAAAAATATTTCTTTTATTTGTAATGTAGGTGGTCACTTGTTAACAATGTCTATTTATGTGTATAATTGAGCAAAAAGCCTATAATATGATGGAATGCGGATCGGAAAAGCAGACGCAGAGCTCACGTCGCGCACTAATTTCCTCGATCTTGGCCAGTAAAATGATGCGCGCTCGTGCGCCCAGGAGAAATCATGTAATACTATACTCGACCGGGATTATAAGCCATACGAATGAAAGAAACAAGGCTGGGTTGTTTGAGATATAAGAATAATTTTAATACGTTTAGAAAGTTATGTAAAAGAAATCGAAATATGGAAATTGTGTAAGTGCGCCCTGATCGATGATTTAACGAGCAGTTGGGCGGTAATAATGAGCTCGACGACCTCCTGGAGTCACGCTACATTAACTATTGTAAGTGAAAGCAATAACTGCCCAGCTATCTGTTCAATAAAGATAGCCCTTTCTGTGATAGTGGCCAAGATAACATAATAATATATCAAATCAATAAATAGCGAAAGATATAAAGTAATTTTTTTATCAAACTAAATGAGTACTTAGTCAAATAATTTAATCAAGGTTGAAATATGATTAAATCTTAATCAATGATTTTGGATGAATAAGTTACACAATGCATTGCTAGTCCTAAGTCGAGATTTTATCATGTCAATACCCACAAGTTAACAAGAAAGTCAAAACATTAACTTCTACTTATTACACGCTGCGCTGGATTTGATAATAAATAAAATGGCGAGCAAGCACGCATCATACGGGTCTTCAGGATTTCATACAATAATAAAGGCAACAATATGTAGCTATTTGGCGTAGCATTCGTAGAGCTTATCTACGCCGTCTGTGAGTTTATGTAACCCTAACACGACTACTGTCTTCACCTTAGCATGTGGTTCATTCACCATAACATAGTACATTACTGTTGCATGGCATGCATTATGCGTACTACTCACAATTTCACTTTTTACCATTCCTTTGATTTCGGTGCAAGTAGAGCAGCAGATAGTTTGTATGCATTGTAAGAAGGATAGAAGAAAGTGTTAGCGTTCGTGATAAATAAAATATAGACCGCGCCTTTTACAAAACAATATTACCATGTTATTTTAGATTCATTGATGTAATTAGTAAATGTAAAACTGGTTTTTCTAAGTCTATTTTTTTCTATTTCTAATGATTTAAGTGTTTGCGTGTGCTGTAGCTTTCTATTAGGCATCAAATATTTTCAAGACATGGGTAATAAATTTACTCTTAGTAGCTCTTAGTGCGTACACGTTATACGTGGAGTTTGATTATAAAAAAGTTATTGCTATATTGTCGAGGAAATTACTTATATCATAAAACTACGGATTGTTGGCTGAAAAAAAAGAAAAGCGGCGTCGTATCACATTAGACACTAAGTTACAATAAATAGTAGTACGGATAAGTAACTAGTGGTAAGTGCAGAGCAAACATGAACTTGCAGATAGAAGTCCCTCACCCGGTAATCGTTCCGGTGCCGCGTCCGTTCCCGGTGCGGGTGCCGGTGTCTAGGCCGGTCGCGGTGCCCGTGGTGCGGGAGATCACCGTGCCTATTGAGAAGCCGGTGCCGTACCCCGTCTACAAAAAGGTTCCCTACCCGGTAGAGAAGCTAGTCCCTGTGCCTGTCGAGAAAGAGGTTAGTGTCCTCGTATCTCGATGTTCTGCAGAGATGCGCACGTATCCCTTTGTGCGTGTCAATGAGACCCCGAAACGCTACGCAACGTAATGATACCGCAACGATTTCGCGGTCGACAACATTTACTTAGCGTTTACATAGCAATTTGACTACGTTGATTCGAATCGTGGAAGTGCAGTATTTATTCGATCGAACCGATGAATTAATTATTTACTTTTGTTAACTTTGCATGTTTTATCTATTCATCTAAATATCTTTCACGTAAATCTGAATGAAAAATTGTTTCTTTACACGGTTACTGATTTATAATTTTCCCACATTCAGCTTGTTGCACGAATATTATAATACTGCTAATTATTTCCTTCGTAATTGTAGAGTGCAGCATGATAATTGCATAGCATTAGATATGTAGTACCAAATTAAAATGTTTAGCACCTTGAACTGGGGTGCATGTGACTGCACTGTGGTTAGTCTTATTGTCTAATATGAAGTTGTTCTGTGTGACCAGGTGCAAGTGCCAGTTGAGAAACCCTACCCAGTACATATTCCCTACGTGAGGCCAGTGTTCCACCACACGAAGCCAGTGCACGAGGACCCTGAGCATATAGAAGAGGAAGACTTCATGCGTCGACCCGAAATAAAGAAACCTACTCAGTACAAGAAGAGACCATACGGGTAAGAAGTTTTCTATTTTATTTGTTTGTTTCAGTCTTTTTCAAATACCTCTTTCTAATAACTAAAAATAGTTGCTCACGCATTTGACTGGCATGTATCCTTTTGTTGCTATTTACTTGATATGAAAATTGTTTTCACTCCAGTTATTTTGTCGAGGAAGTCTAGTTTGTATGTTAAATGAATGCTATAAATTACACTGGGACAGATTGTAAGTGCTACACGAATTAAACACGCATAAAGATTAAATCATGTTTTACACAATTATGCAAACTTTGTGGTCTGCGTGCAATTATGCGAGTCGGTAATGCACGCCAAGCCTTTATGAAGTTCATGGACTTTTTATAAATACTGTAAATATTTGGAATTTATGAACAATTTCTTTGGGCTGAGTTATGGCAGAATTTTTTTACAATAAACTACCACTTAATCTAATCTAAGTTTCGAAATAAATCTCGAGATTTTTTTAATAATGACGATCAAATTCTTTGGAATATCTTGAAGAAAAATATTGTCATGTAGCCAATAAAAAAAGATTCAGAAGATTAAAGTCTGCCAGTTGGAACAGGTTAAGAGATACTTATTAAGTTACTTTTACAAAAAATATCTTATTTTGCTACTCTTTTGTTTTGCAGAACTCGTTACAGATCACGAAGACCATCTCGTGCAAGTTACCAGCAGGATCGCAATAGGCGGCGGTGGCCTGAGCGTCGTCGTCCAAGTCATACAATTGAATACAGACATCAGTCCAGACCAACAGAATTCCACTCTCCCCCATACAAACACCGTGACTTCGAGCCAGATGATGATGAAACCAGTGAATATAGAGAATATTGTAGGAGAACGGGAAACTGTTGATCTATGAAAATATTTCCTAACAGTGATCAAAGACTGCTGTTGTATCTAAGCTCCCAATTTTTTGGAACTTAGCTTTCTAATCATTGCATTTGTAGATTTTCTTATGTTATAGAATGTTAAGTATTGTAGGTTTGATCCCAAAATGGAGAATATTGTTGTACCGGATTATTGGGAGTTAGAACGTACGAACTTTAGTGTGTTTCCGATCGATATGTTGTTATTATCGTTTTGCATTTTTATTCCATACATAAGGAAACTTCTGTACTGACTATGATATTACTTTTTACATGTGTATTTCTTGTTGATTAATTTTTACTCTGAGAAAATCTGTAGAGTAAGTGTTTCGATTGGTTTTATAAGCCAATGTGCCAAATATTCTTTATTATTCTATTGTAAGATTGTAAGTAAACATTTTCAGTTTTTAATTTTTACATTGTTTAGTTCTATTGTTATCTTGTCTTATTTTGTATAGTAGTTGTAATTATTTATCGGTTAGCCAGTAAAATTGTTGTAAAAAACTGTTGTTTTTCTAGCTTAAATTCTCATTATAAAAAACTGTCGTCGTATAGAAGAAAAGCATGGTACGGATGCTTTATAATGATAGTTTCAAGTGGCAATTATTGGTAATTATTTCAATGTATTTATGTGGAATACGTGTTTAGTTGAGGAGATCAGTCAGTTTCGCATGGGCGCCCACTTTTACCAACGCTTCGATAAGCAGAATGCGCCTTACGCGCTACCGAAGAGAAATATGCGAAGACGTTCCTGACTCACAGTTTATTGTCCGCACGTATCAGATATTTACAGCTACTATCATACGTCGTTAACGTAGTAAGGTGAATATAATTATTTGTGCGAGTTTATAAACACTTTCTAGTAGCTTCCATCAATCATCACAGACTGCCAGTAGGTGTATGGTTTTTTTACATTTCAGGCATTAGCCTGTATAGTGTACCTAAGGATTAGCTTAGGCTATACAATCAAAAATAATACTAAATACTTTTTCATATCTACATATGACAGAACATGCTTCTGTGAAAACGAAAAAGATCTAAAATAACAAAAATAAAATAACATCACGCCTTTTGTCTCCGAAGGGACAAGCAGAGGTGCCCCCCCCTTAAAAAAAACAGGCAGTGGTGCACATTATGCCACTGTACAATGTAACACCCACTTTTCACTATTTATGTTATGAGTCCCATGTAATAGGGGGTTAGCCTATTGCCATACACCGGACAAAATTCAAGACTCCATGCTACTACTGGGATTTTTTTTTAAACCCAGTAATACTTTGCTCGACCCGGGAATCGAACCCGAGACCACTTGCCCGGAAGTCGCACTAGCGACCACTAGGCCAGCGAGGCAGTCCTCTACTGATCCTGTCTGACTCAATAAACTTGCCTGCTGTATAAAGGAACTTGTTTAACAAATAAATTCATTTATCTCCATTCGATTTATCTTTAGACATTGGTTGTGGCTCGCTAATGTCTATAGACGTCATACGAAGAATATTTAAATACAATACTTAACCGCCAATGTTTTTCTTTTTCTGGTTGCATTTGACGTCACAATAATCCCCTTAAAGATCAAGTGGTTACGAATGCGGCAACCGAAAATTCTCAGTAAAGGGGTACTTTGTGACAGACGATGAGTGAGGAATGAGTGCAATGTGCATTTCAGGCTGTCTACAAATGAAATGATCTCTTTAGGAAAACTACTTAAGGCATTATTTTCAATGCATAATTTGACTTTTGTCGTTCTGAATTACTAAAAACAGGCTCACCTCTATTACATGACTCATAACATGACCATAGTAAGTTAAAAGAACCTCCTGCTTTTGAAGTTGGTTAACAGGAGGATGTTATAGTATGTGCGCCTGTTTTTTTATGGAATAGGAGACAAACGAGCAGACGGAGCACCTAATGGTAAGCGATCAACGCCGCCCTTGGACACTCGCAACACCAGAGAAGCCACAGGCGTGTTGCCGGCCTATTAAAAAGAAATCTCTTTTTTTGAAGGTGTGAAGTTCTGTCTATTCCTTTGGGTATTAAAATGTGTGTCATCATGGATGGCGCCTGGCCCCTAGTAACGTAGTTAAGTATGTGGTTAATGAATTAACCACATACTTACTTACGCTCGTTGGGATTTCCAAAGTAGGTACCTATGGCGTGAACTTTATTGTGATGAATTATCCTCCCAGTCATATGATACACTTAATTTGGTTATATATATAGTACCTATAGTCAATTGTTTATTTCTATAGGTGCATTAATATGCATACTTGGCTGCCTCGTCAGCCGAGTGGTCGCAAGTGCGACTGGTCGGGCAAAGCGTCTCGGGTTCCGTTCCCCCGGGAACCCGTAAGTAATACCCGTATTACTGTTCTTTTTTTAAATGCAATACACTACACCCCATCCTAAATGGGACTTAGAGGTATAACATAAATAGTGAAAAGTGGGTGTTATATTGCCCAATGGCATTAAACACCCGAATGTGCACCTCTGCCTAAGCCGGGGATAAAGGGCTGAAGATGATGAGCATGTTCATAAGCATAACCTGGTGTAGCAGCCTGGGGACCGAATGCTGCATTATGTATAAGTGGTTACGATTTCCGCACGGAATATTCATAATCGTTTCGCACACTACTTATCTCATCTCAGTATGTTTATAAATCAATAGCATACCGCTCCTTCGCTCGCACGAGTTTTAATTCTTAACTTTCTCATTGAAATTCTCATAATAACAATGATTACGTATAACAGAAAAGCCACTACATAACAAACACAGCACACCCAAAATTAGTTTGTCCTAATATCGGGTTTGGTGGATAACATACATATGACCCTGACGATCACAAACAACTGAGTAACAAATCTAATCTTTATTAATGAAAATGGATCACCAATATGTATGTACGCCCATAACTGTCGAATGACTGCATCGATGATCGAATTGGCTAGTTATATATATATTTTCTCGTCGTTATCGTTAGGAAAAGTTTGTATACACGAATAATTCGATACATTCATCAGGAATAAGACACACTGGCGAAGCTGGAGAGGGCTGTTAGTAAAGATTAATTTGAATTATGTAATCCATTTCTAGACCTAGGTACCGTTCAAGTAATATTAAACTAAGACAGGTATTAATCTCATAAATTCTTAGAAGCCTCTCACGGGTCTCATCGTCTCATATTTCTATAGATCATTTCACAAGACATAAGCGGTCTATTGCAAATAGGTATGAAGGTAGTTAGCACTGTATAAACAAGTATAATATATATCTAGTCTGTATATTAATTTGCTCTAGACTGCTCTAAGATTCATTCATAGATTTGTGCATAATCAATTTTAATACTAGGTATCTATTAAAATGAAGTGTATTACCACAGTGCATTACCTGATTGTAATTCAATGCAACATATTGATTAAGATGAACTATATGGCTTCTAATTATTGAGTAGACTTTTTGGTACTAATTACAGGACAGGATAGGTAGGTATAGATGTCTATATACAGTGTAATAATAATGTACCTAATGTATGGATATTTGTAAGCCATAGTTTCAGTAACATGGTAAGTATATCAACGTAATAAATATGATTAGAAACTCTAAATGCACTTACCTACATTATATCATCACCATTAAATCAAAGGCTGGTCCGAAAATCCTTGCGGCATTAAGTCCACCTAATGTACACTCTGTGCATGAAGCTTAAATAAATAAATACATTAAAACATGCTATGTACCCAGTAGCAAATCTAAAGGGGTGTGGGAAAACTTGTTCACTCCTTTTCAGTCAATACTTAGTTACGGCGCACAAGAGTAATTGCTCTCATAATTACGGCAGGAGGTGACGTAAAATGCGCTCGCTTTGGACAAAGTGAGTGAGATTTAATTATGCTGAGCACCGCATCAGTCAGGGACAGTGGTTAATGATCACGACTTGCTCTTAAAAAGTCCTCGCAGTTAGACGATTTTATATAAAGGAGTCTTGTAAGATGTAATATATCCGTAACAATGGTGAGCAAATTATATTTAATAACGTTTGAACTCTGACTTTGATTTGCAATCACTTATTGTTGGCTGACATAGAACAAGAGTGATATATTACTTGTATTTTAATTACGGCTTACAAACTTATTCTGGGAATAGTTTTAAAATCTCAGCAGCATCGTCATCAACAGCCGAAGGTACACTGCTGCACAGGATGGATATATGCTGCACTATCAAGGACCTACTCGGGTTGAATGTGTAATTATTAATCAGTGGAAAAATGTTTTTATTGAATGGAATGTGTGCCTACATTAATATTTTCTTTAGGGTTCTGCATGTAGGTAATATCTCACGATAAAACTGTTTGGTATCATAGTGCTTTCCCTCATTTTATTTTAACACGAAAACGGTGAAAAAGGAAATTAACGTACATACATTTACATAATTTATAATACTAGCTATTAAGTACAATATGGTCCTATTATGTATGTGTCTGCCGATGCTTTTGTTTAGCGGCCAAATTATTATCATATTCATTTCTATGATAGTGACTGAGACAAAAGATCTGATAGATGACCTCAATAAGGTATCTATTGCAAGTTGCAAGTACTGTGGCAACGTGGGCGGTGAATCTCACTCTCAATCTCGTTGATTGGTCAATCCTCATACTACGGCTTCTATTGAGTTTTTATGTGACACATCGTGACATTATGGAAACATAAACCAAAAAGTAAACCAATTAACAGCATCTACTTTAGGCTACCTTCTTGATTAGATGGACTGTACCATTAACTAAAAATCGCGGGTTACTCACGTGAACATACTGAAAAAGCTCTACTAGTTTCGAACCACAGAGGGGTTCTTCTTCATGAGCAGTGTGCACGGTCGCGACAATGTCGCGCAGCCTACTGACTGTACTATATAAATCGTGTGATTGTTAGGACAATTACTCAGCAGTCAAAGTATTAAATTAGTATATATAGTCATTAAATTCACAGAAATAGGACGAGTTTGGAATTGACTTATATGGTACCTTATGGTATAAAAATATTACTGTTCTGTTACAAGGTGCACATCATTAACAAAAGTGGCTAATACAAACCATAATATCTATATTGAACACCTGTACGAAGCCGTTAAAAATAAAAAACTTGATTACTAATTTTACTCGCATCACATCAACAAGTCCTAATTTTACTAGCCCTAATTTTGTCGCGGCGAAATGCAATGCCTTAGCTCGTAGCGCGTAGTGCATTGCGCGTAGTTCGTAGCGCGTACCAGCGTTTTCCCGGTATTAATAGCCTAGGAGATGGTAGGAAAACGCGCTACGAGCTACGGCTGTAGTTTTACAGAGCAACTCTAATATTACGTGTTATAAACACTATTGTATAGATAAACTGTTGCTATATACTGTATGTAAATAAATCATAGTGCATGCACGGTAAATGACCTGGTCCAGTGCTCATTTAGGAAGTATTAATCAGATATCAGAAGTAAA